AAAGTCGGAAGCCACTAGCCAAAATAACGGTAGAAGGTTACGGTCAACTGAGTACAATAGTGGTATCAGTGGTGGTAAGTTTAGAGCGAATTTGTTAACAGCGAAAGGCCAACAGGAGAGAAATTCAGCGTGAATACAGTTCATACCTCACTGCCACTGAGGCCCGCTAAATTAGCTGTTGACAACCCTCCAGTAGTTCGTTCCGAAGAGCCTCCTCGAGCGGTAGCACGAGTAGTTGGTGGCTTATTAAGAGCATCATTCACCTGAAATGATAGATTGGAGTAAAAAATCACAACCTTGGAGAGCATCATTGTAAACCACACTGAAGAATTTCTGAAACATGTCGTGAGAAAGGTGATATTGCGCATCAAAAAAAAACGGAATATCGCTTGAACTTGCACTGTTTATACAAACGCTCCTACCAGAAAAGGACTTCCAATGAATAACTAATTCAATAATGAAAAAAATTGCAGGATACCAAAAGAGGAGCAAAAATCTGCGACTACCGAATAAAATTTTCTACGGATATAAGTGCGTTACAAATGTAAGCGAGTAAATTTAGCCCATAAACAAGATAGTGTAAAACGAAGCTTAACAACAACACCCTTTCGTCTTAGTAAAATAAAGGAAAATCGCAATGTTTCAAGATAATGGCATGAGAAACGAAACCCCACTTCAATCGCACTTACCTTCTTGCAAAGATCCTTGTCTGCATCTGCATTGCCATCTTGAATCCAGAAAAGACGACGTTCGTCAGAAGTTTTAAATTTCAACATGTAAACTTTGCCGTCAGGACATCCCTTCACTTCCTTGAATTCTGTATCTCCCGGAAATATTATGAGATCCTGAAAATCATGATTAGACTTTACTCTACGTTAATAAAATAAAATTGCACAGCGTGGAAAAGACACAAGACTCACATCAACCACGGCTCCTGTTTCTCTGTTCTTCCAGCAGAAATGCATGAGCTGATCATTTGACTGTTTGATGAAAACTTGCCCTTTCGTTTTGTCGGCAACGACCTTAATGACGTAGAAATAGGGTAATTCAAACGCTAACGAGCTTTGACAGGTTTGAGATAACAATTTTACGAAAACACCTCCTGGTACTGGAGCGCATCTACACAAACTATGCCAAGTGTTAGAACTCTGAGTACTGAAACTAGTCAGTCTCAAACTTTTCAAATTGCTTTGGAACCAAACATAGACCTTCGCGGATAGCCCAGGACCTAGAAGAAATTTTGGTGTGAGCTCGAAAAACTTCAAATTTCCACTAAACCTACAAATGTAGCTGGAATCAGATCGGTAGGCAAAAGCGAAAAAAAAACTTGATTGGTTCAAAACAATAAGTCTACTAAGAGATAACTTCCAGGCACTCTTGCGGTAAAACTACCGCTATGAAAAATATTGATCACCATCAATCCTACCCAACTTCACTAACCTGACGTCTAAGCAAAACGGAAGTTACTTCTTTGTTCATACTCTGGAGCCCTGCCCACAGTGGGCGTGGCTTGCGCCAAAAGTGAGAGTACCAAGGCCAAAACTTCACCTTACGATCAACAAACACACCTAGAGACCCGGAAAAATGGGTAAGAGCGAGTATTGATAAGCCAGGTCGATTAATGAAGACCCAACTGCGGCGGATGGGGCGTTCTCTGGATAGGCGGCGCTCAGTACTAGAATTCATAACTCGGTTGGGAAATAGCTTGCAGAGGACAAACAAAAAACTGACGCGGGATAACAACGTCTGAGAAGTCCCCAGCATATCAGAAGCAAGTCTGCTCGCAGTGGTCGGAGCGTGTCCTAAGGGCGACGTTTCTTATCATTCTCAAACTTGGTATTCGCACAAAGTACAGAGGACGCGAAAAAAGGAACTCACGGTGACGACGAAGAGAATGATCAAATCTACTAGTGGGTAGCGTGCCACACAGGAACGGCGTGATTTTAGACCTCGGGTCGAGGTACTCGCGATGCGTCGCTGGGACACCAGCGACGGCCGCCGCCACGCCACAAGAGTGAGCCACGGGCGCGAATTCAGCACATGATCGATCTCGGTGTCAGGGATAATCATCCACATCCGCACATCTTCCATTGTCTGCCTCGTTTTTTTTTTTCAAATCTTAATCAGAAGTGGTCTTCCCTCTGTCAATTGTACGATAACCTCAAAGTATCGTTGAAGTAACACTAGTCGACTTGATTGCTTCTTTGGTCGAGTGGGAAAATCCATGATAGTTGTATTTCAACAACTTCTTTTGGTGTATTGTATTTCACAACGTCAATTATTACAGGACCACCTTCCTTGCATTCAAGCATCCCACGCAGTCTTTTCCTGCTTACATATTGATTTTGGTGAAGGCAGAGTCAACCCTGCGTTGCGCAGTTCGCAACGGCACGTTGAGAGATCCTCAACGCACGCTGTATGGGCGGAGACGCAGACGGCTCGAGCATGCGAGTGTGAATGTTCGCGCGAGAGAACGTGTCTAATCGGGCGAAACTGCGCAACGTGGCCGTTGAAAACTGCGCAACGCAGGGTTGACTCTGGTGGCGGATTAATCTTCCCCCTGCCGACGCGATATCGATCGTGTGCAGTCCAGAAACCGGGAAAAGCGGGTAATGGCCCACGAAGAACGGCAGGTCAAAAGCCAGCTAGAAGGTGGTGACGGGTGGGTAAACAATGGTACGAGCCAAATTTTCGCACCCTATGTGCGAAGTGACCTCATTAAGGCGGACGGCTTAGGGGTCACGACACCACCCAGACTTCATTGTTGATTAGGAAAACGCACTTAATAGAGGAGACAAATCATTCATACCATTAGGTAAAAAATACTCATTTATTACACAAATTCATAAACATAATAATGGTTCCGATGTTCCCTCTCTATGTGTGACGACTTCCTCTAAAGCTTGGGAAGCAAGGGGTGCAATACTCGCGTAAAAGAAGAGTGATGGCATTGGGGAACTTGTCGAGGTGCAGCAGGGGTGCTGGGAGGAATGTGCAGCATGAGCAATGTAGTAGGATGGTGTAGGGCAGGTGAAGGGGTGAAACAGCTAGCAGGATCTTGAGCAACACTGTAGGGAGGTGCCACGCCAGAGGGAAAAGCTTGGTCGACGTAAAGTTGGGATACCGGTACGAAAAAGGAAGTTTGTGGAGTAAAATTAACATGGAAGGGTGTTGCTGGGGTGAAAACTGTGAGGGGCCAAATGAAAGGATGAAAGATCTGAAACCTCAGAGAAACTGGAAGGCGCACTGGAAGACATCACAACACAACGAAGCTAACTGGTGTAAAAGTCTGCATCTATGCTAGCCTAAATACCTGCCATCACCTCTCCTCGAGGTTTCTTTTTACCAGGGGTCCTGCGAAGTGGTATGGGGGGGGGGGGTAGCCTGAGGCCCTGAAAAGTCATAGAGGAGAGCACATGAAGGGCATATCTCTAACTGACTTGCTTGAGGGAGGACAGTAACGTTTGGCTAGAGACGTGAGGCCTACATCGTAAGCATGCGGATCTCTTAATTCCATCCGCTCCTGTTCGCTTAGTTTTACAGCAGAGGTGTTCAGGTGTAGTTTTGTACTTTCTGATACCTTGCTCAAGCTTTCAGTTATACCGAATTTGATAGCTGATCGGTGATAACGGGTCATTTTAGAGTTTTCTTATATTTTAGATTTTCGATATCTTCCCTTTCAAATACATATTCATTATTCATGTTGTTTTTTTTGTATGGTTCTCCAATTTGACTGCCATTTCTACGTGTCTAGTACACATGTTTGGGTGGTGTTGTGACCCCTAGGCCGTCTCCCTTAATGAGGTCACTTCGCAGTTATCCGCGGAGTATTCTTAATTAGGTGTGAATCGTACCATTTTCTACTGACCCCACAATGACCCCATATACTGCGATAGCGCCAGTTAGCGTTTCTATCCCCCAGGCGATTCTGGTACTAAAGAATCTACCCCGAACGGGGTAGAAGGCTTGGTTGGTTTAAATGCGAACAAGTTAAAGACGTAGACTGAGCCACATGTGAACACTGCGAGCTGCTGCATAGCCCTATCTGCATGTGGATGCTTAGGAAGATGAGAGCAGTCCGGTACGGCCGTTTCGTATAACTTC